ACTGCTCGCCCACCACTTGCTTGCCCACCATCGCCCTCTGAGGATGGCAACGGCAGGCACAACGACGATGACGACGGGCACCACAACGACGACGGCGGTGTCACCCTCGCCCTCTGCCTCGTCGTCTCGCCGTCTGCCCCACCATCTCGCCCCTTTCGCCCCTTTCGCCCTTTCGCCCACCTTGTCCGCCTCTCGCCCACTCGCCCACTCTCGCCCTCTCGCCCACTCTCCCACTCTCCCACTCTCCCACTCCCTCTCCCTCTCGCCCTCTTGCCCTCCCTCTCGCATCTCGTCCACCCCACCGTCTCACCCTCTGCCACGCCGTCTCACCCACCTCACCATCTCACCCCCTCTCGACCGGCCGGCCCTCTCGCCCTCTCGCCCTCTGCCCCGCTGTCGTCCATTCGCACTCGCATTCGCCCTGCCCAGTGACCAGCGGAGGGCGGATTGGGCCCAACAAGGAGCGGAGGAGGTGGGTGAGGCCCACAAGGCCAGTGGAGGGATGGAGGGGACCCCAACGGCGTGCAGCGGCCCCCTCTCGCGTCCCGCCCTCAACGAGCACCCGAGGGGCCCCATTGAGCACCTGACGACACCCAACGAGCCACCGGTGGGGCGAACAAGCACTGAACGGCCCCACGGAGCGAAGGACGGAGGAGGTGGGGGCGACCCGAACAAGCAAGCGAAGGGAAGAGGGGGCCCGAATTGAGCACATGAGGGGCGGAGGGGTTCGAGCGAGCAAACGAGGGGTGGAAGGGTCCCGACCGAGCGCACGAGGGGGCGGCGGATGCCCCAACCGAGCACAGGAGGGGCGGAGGGGGCCTGAACAAGCACACGAGGCGGCGGAGGATGCCCCACGACCAGAGGAGGGGGCAGAGACAGAGAGGGAGGGGACCTACACCCATCCCCCTGAGCAGAAACGGCACGTGATAGTGCACCGTTTCTGCTTGTTTTATCCTTGTTTTATAGCAGGTAGCCCTACTGGCCACCTGCGCCATGTATTTTTTTTTTACAATTTAATACGATTTTTTTTGCGATTTTTGAATGTCCAGTAAGACCATGCTAAAAATAGATGACGCGGTAAAAATGCCGAGCATCATCCAAAGTGCCCTGTCCCAATCCACCCATTCCCGCCCCCCGACGATGGGGGAAACGGTGCACAACGACGAGGAAATATGTTTCCTCGTCATTGGCGCTTTTTCCCCATCGAAAACGGTGGCAGGAGCACCGAAAACGACGAGGAACAATGCTCGGGCATTGTGTCCTGCGTTGTTTGCTTGTGTTGACACATCCCGCCCACAGCATTGGGCCCCGGCACGCACGGCAACGGCCTCTCCGTGGGTGGACTGTTTAATCACAGTCCTGACATGTGAGTATACCCTGTTTAAATACAGTGTTTGATACATTTACCTAGCTTATAGAAGTGAACGAACCGCAGAGGGCTGAACAACCCCCTAACGAGCAGAGGAAGGCCAGGCAGCCCCCAACAACGAGAGGAGGAGGAGTGGAGGATGCCCCAACGGGTAGAGGGGGGGAAGAGGGGAGAACGGCCCCAAATGAGCAGCAGAGGGCCAAGCGACCCCCAACGAGCAATGGAGGGATGAACGGCCTCCAATGGCGAGCAGAGGAGGGGTGGAGGGTGGCCCACCGAGTGGAGGAACAACCCCCAATGACAAGCAGTGGGTGGCCCACCGAGCAGAAATGACGCACTGTGATGCGTCATTTCTGCTCATTATTTCTTTATTTCACAGCGGGTGGCTGGTAGAGCCACCCATACCATGTATATATTTTTTTAAATTATAATATGATTTTTTCCTAATTTTTTCATGTGCTGAGACATCCCTGAGCTCGCCGGACGTTGTGGCAGACGACGGCGAGAGCATTACAACGGGTGTGTCATGGTAATTACATGATACTCTAAAAATAGCCACAGGCCCCGAAAAACGGCCGCATCATCCAAACACACCTGGCCCAATCCACCCAATCCTGCACCCCGACGCCGGGGGAAATGGTGCACACCAACAGCGGAATATATTTCCGTGTCGTTGGCACCTTTTCCCCGCTGAAAACGGTGGCAGAAGGGCCACAAACGACGAGAAACAGTGTTCGGACACTGTTTCCTGCATTGTTTGTCTATGTTGATGGATCCTGCTCCCATCTCCGAGCCACAGCAGTCCTGGCATGACCTCTCTCTTAGGCTGACTGCTTTATGACAGCCAGGACTGATCCCGTCCCACTGCTTAAAGGCAGTATTTGATATAGAATTGTAGCTGACATGGCTGGGGCACTTCTCCCAGCCTGGTGAACATTGTACCACACATGAGAACCTGGATGAATTTTGGGATATGCTGAAGGTGAGATAAAGTGTTTTATCATTGATGTACATGCAGAATAGTTCATACTCTTTCATTTAGTGTGAGAGGGATCCTGAGAATAGAGTTCGCCTTATCTTTGTAGAGAACCTTTTGTGAAACGTGCTTCAGATGCTTGGAACTGTGTTGGTCCAATGGCTGATACTGAGATATCTCCTCGTCATGCTGATCCGAGCGTTCTGTTAGGTACAAAATTGAACCTTTCTTCTTCTCATCGTCTTTGAACTGGATCCCGTCCAGATATCAAGAAGATGTTGATGAGGACCGCGGAGACCATGCGTCTTTCAAGTCTCTTCTTCATTTCACTAACCTATAAATAATAGATATCACCGTGGTACTACCCTTCCTCCAGACCATGCCAAACCCAATGACTGCGCCAACAACTCCTGTGAGTGGCGGGCAATTCTTCGCGCAGATGGTAGCTAAAATCGGGTCAGCAATGATTGATACCCAAGCACCTCTCATATTATGCTCCAGTAAGTGGGTCGCTGTTCTCCCGCACACACTGTAGAGTATTCTAAGCCCAAGCTTAAAGACGATTGAATCCTCCTTCTGGATCTGCTTTCCTTCCATATGGTCCAGCGAAAGGGCAGTAGCACCATAATATCCTATCACCCCACTCCTGAATGGAAGAGCGCCAGCACGTGTTACCTGCACTTTCACATCCGCTTTGCAGGTGAGAGTGTCTACTGGCAGTCGTTGTTCAAGCGCTCATCCGACCCAACCTTGGTTCTGCTGTGTGTTCTCTGGTACCTGCTCTATGCCTGGGATGAGTCCCTGGAGAACCTTTACATCCATATCTGCTGGTTGGTGAGTAACCACGACCAACAGCTTCTCCCAAATATCGACTGAACATACCCTACAATCAGGAGTCCTGTGTGCTCGTCACAAACGACATCCATCTAACACAGGAGCTACACATTATCCATGCTTCCCTACTTCATTATGCCTCCTTGCTGGAAAGCTTCAGGAAGACAGTTGTGTTCCTGCACAACACACCCAATCCCGCTATGCGTGGTCATTTCAACTCTAACTCAAGTATCGGTTCTGCTGACTTGTTTGAACGGGAATGTGATACACTCGTGTCTGAAATAGAACGCCTCGACATGTTCCGCAAGATGCAGGAAATGCAGCCATGTCCGCTAGAAATCTATATCAAACACTGTATTTAAACAGGGTATACTCACATGCCAGGACTGTGATTATACAGTCCACCCACAGAGAGGCTGTTGCCGTGCATGCCGGAGCTCAATGCTGTGGGTGGGGCCTGTCAACACAAGCAAACAACACAGGAAACAATGCCCGAGCATTGTTTCCTCATCGTTTGGGGCACTCCCACTGCCATTTTCGACAGGGAAAAGGTGCCAACAACGAGGAAACATATTTCCTCATCGTTGTGCACCATTTCCCCCATTGTCAGGGGGGGTGGGATTGGGTGGATTGGCCCAGGTGCATTTGGATGACGTGGCCTTTTTTCGGGGGCCTGTAGCTATTTTTAGATAATAATGTAATTATGATGACACATCCCTTGTAATGCCCTCACCGTCGTCTGTCAGGATGTCCAGCGAGCTTGGGGTACACCAAAAAATTAGCAAAAAAATTGTATTAAATTGAAATAAAATGTATCCATGGTGCGGGTGGCTCTTACCAGCCACCCACTACGAGATAAGGAGAAAGTAAGTGGAAACGACACGTGACGCGTCATTTCCGCTCTGGCTGCAGCCCCTGCCCTTTACACTGTACAGCAAAAAAATGCAAAAAAAAAATCGTATTAAATTGTACAAAAAAATATACAGGATGCGGGTGGCTCTACTAGCCACCCGCTATAGAATATAGGTGAAATGAGCAGAAACAGCATGCTATGACACGCCGTTTCTGCTCAGGGAGATGGGTACGGGTCCCGTCTCCCCCCCAGCCTTTCTGCCTTCTCTGCCACCTCCTCTGTTCGTGGAGCCCCCTCTGCCGCCTCCTGTGCTCATTGGGACCCCATCCGCCCCCTCGTGTACTCGTTGGGCCCCCTCTGCCCCCGCTGCTCCCTCCTCAGCTCTCTCCTCTGCTCATTCGCTCCCTTTGGGTGCTCGTTGGGCCTCTTCGGGTGCTCGTGCACCTCCCTCCTCATGCTCTCCCCCTTGTGCTTGAGCTGCATGTGGGTGCTGAGCAGGAAGCAATGGGCGGGGGTCAAGGGCAAGGGGCAGGACAAGGGGCAAGGGTCAGGGTCAGGGTCAGAACAGTGGGCAAGGGAGAACGGTGGGCAAGGGTAAAGGCAAAGGTAAAGGCGAGAGGGTGGGTTGACATCTGTTGATGTCATGTGCCCACTGTCACCATCCTGTGCCTGCTGTCACTTTCCGCTTGTCCTGCTGCCCCTGTTCATACCCGCCATCGTCGTTCCTCGCCGTTGGGTTTCCTCGCCCATCATCTGCCATCATTGTTGTCTGCCATCGTCGTCGTCCGCTGTCGTAGTTGTCTGCTATTGTTGTCTGCTGTCCCTCGTCTGCTGTCGTCGTCCACCACCATCGTCTGTCGCCTGTCGTCAGTCACCCGCTATCCCTTGTCTGCCGCCTGCTGTCATCGTTTGTTGCTGTCATCCTGTGCCTGCTGTCACTGCCCTTGACCTGGGCCCTCTGCAGCCGTTCTTGTCTTTCTGTTCCCTGTGTCGTCATAGATTGAAGGTGAGGGGCGAAGGGTGAGGGGTGGAGGGCGAAAGCGAAGGGCAAGGGGCAAGGGGCAAGAGAGGGGTGGAGGGCAGGAGAGGCAAAGGGCGAGGGGCAAGAGGCAAAGGGCGAGGGGCGAGAGAAGACGAGGGTGAAGGTGAAGGCGTGAGACGATGAGGGCAAGGGCGGGAGAGAAGGCGAGAGCGAGAGGTGGGGAGACGAGAGGGGAGGGGAGGGGAGGTGGCGGTGTCAGTGGCAGGTTAGACAAAGGGCGACACCTGCATCCTTACGGAAGGGGTTCGGTGGGTGATGTGGGCCATGCAGGGGCAATGGGCTGCGATGGGGGTGAGATCCGGGGCATACAGCGATCAGGTGGGTATGCTAGGTGGCCAGGGGGTAGGTCATGCCCTGCCCACATCCCTATTGAAGGGGAGGGGTGCGAGATGGGGAGAAAACGAACATCGACATTACGTCGACATTCGTGTACATAACGTTGAATTAAAACATACATTAAAGTACAAACACATGAATAAAAACACATAACTTACATTTTTTGGGGCATTGAGGGGTCATTTGAGGTGCTGGACAACGGAGGGAGCTGCCAGGTGGTGGTTGAAGACGATGATCAATGACGCTCATCGTCATTGATCGCTTATCCGGCGGATGCCATGAGCGACGTGATTGGCTGGCCCTTGCAGTCTGGCCAGCCCATGTTCCGCTTGTCGACCGCGGAATCGCTCATACACTTGAAACAGGAAGAAAATCATATTTTTTATTGTCAGTAATTAATAATGCTACTCTATTCTATGTATTAATTGAGGTCCGAACAATGTTTGCGAACGGGAACGAACTGAGAGCCCAGATTACTGATTTCACATGGTGATTTATGTTCTTCCGCCGTTCCAACCTGTTGAATACCATGCGTTGGACAAGCTGAAGAATCAAAAAGCTTTTCATTTTACATCCTTGAGGGAGTAAGTGCAACATATCAAAAATTTGGGCTGCATTTCCAATGTGGATCTTGCAATACAAGCCAGTGTCGAAAATTTGACCCATCTTGAGTTGTTTTTTGTCTCAGAATCCACATTGTCATTCATTATTTCTTGGTTTGCATCCTAAACTTAATAAATTCATCAGGGCAGCTCTATTCACCAATACTATCATAACAAGCCAGTCTATATACAATTTTTGTATATTTATTTGGCTTCTTATCTGTCTTGGAACCTACATACAGAGGTGAGAGGCCTATAATTGGCCTGAGTCTGCGACAATTTCACTTGTAAAATATTTCAGCTTCGCTGGATTTCATTAAAATCACATAAATATATGAATTTAATTACTAACAACATTTTCCAAAGGTTTTAAATAAAGTTAAATGGCATTCTGCAGGCATTGGAGATGTTCTGTTGGTCAACCAATGGAACGGAGGTGGATCGGGCCGCACACCCCAGCCAATGGAACACGTAGCCGGAACTCGCCGAACTGCGATCAACGATGCTGTGCATCATTGATCCTGGTCCTTGCCCTCCACCACACTCACCCTCCTCCCACCAGACAGCCCTGAACGCAAAAAAAGGTATGTGAATGTGTTTATTTTGTCCTTATATACTTACTATGCTACTCTTAGCCTCACAGGACCCCACCTGCGCCGTGTGCCCCTCCCCGCTCTGCAGGGATGTGGGCCAGCGCCATCCCATGGCCAGCCCTTTGCCTCCTCGTGCCTTTGCCTCCACACCTCATGCCCTCGCCCCTCACAGCCCACCCCCTGCACCTTTGCCCGCATTGCAGTGGCAGGACAACGAAGACAACGGCCACCTGTATCAGTTAGAAAAATATAGAAATACAAGGCAGTTTCCTAACTATGAATCTAAGCCCTGGAGGGCAATATGCTACCTTCCGCTTTGGGAAGGCTCTCCTAATAAGAGGGAGGGGTTGCCGGGTGCCTGGCATCTGCAAGGGTGATGAGGAGGGGGTAAATAAATTAGTAAGCATCCATTTCCGGGGTGGGCGGGTGGTGGGAGGTGCAGGAGGGGGCGGAATGGGGGCGGGATAGGCCAAGCAGGACCCCGGGGCACTGCAGAGAACTGGTCATGTGACCTGTTTGCTCTGCAGCCTCAACCGGGGCCGTTTTTTGTGAAAAAAGTGCCCAGGGCCAATGTGATAGTATGTTACTGTATGTCATAAAAAAATCAGGAGAATCTGGGATGTGGAATGTTGCGAAACGGCGCGTATGAGGTGTCACCTTAACTTGGCGCGCGTTTATTTTTAGCACTAGCTGCTAAATTGGGATCTGGCATCAAAATAGCCATTGCTGGCGCATTTCGGGCTCGTTTGGCTTCCCCCTGGGTGGAAATTGATGGGAACAATGACGCGATAATTTTGAGGAAATTCATAGCTACCTGTAGACACCCAGAATGTGTGAATACGACCATTTTTGGCGATGTTATGGCCTAAACTGTGCTTCTATGCACAAAAATGCGAAAATGCGCACCTAATGCTCTGCCTCTCATGCATCCCTGCCTCATAAAAACTAGCCGATAATTTAGTATGCTACTATAGCTTCAGAACGAGCCAATAATAATGGCCTTGCATGCATTATTGGTTATGCAATGGGCCTTTCGATGTTTATGTGCTAAAAAACCGAAAAAGCGCACTCAAATCTCTATGCCACACACGTATCTATCCTTCCAAAACATTATGCGTTCAGATAGAGGTTATCAAAGGCTACAAAACGCGCTATTCAGCGTCTCCACACGTTCATTTTTTCCAAAGATATACCTACAACACTCCTCATCCCTCAATATCACAAAAAGCGAACTTCTGTATCTCCCCCAATTATTATCCAAGACCTGTAGAATTTTTCAGTCAGTCTCACCCAGTGCCATACTCACTATTTACAGTCACATAGCATGGTATAGAGTCCCTTTTAATATAATATAAGCACCCCTTCCTCCTCCCCCTGAAAAGCCAGAAATGCGCCCTCCATTCCCCATTCCCCAGGCTACTTATGTGAGCTGTAACATATATACATGTTAATTGTAGCCATATAGGTACCTCCATGCAAGAATACAGGAGTTAATAATGCCAAATGCACTTGCAGTGGCCAATTTCGGGTTTTCTACCTATAATCACCTTGTTTGCCCCATGGGATGCCCAATTCTTCACCAATCTTCAAGAAAAAACATGTCCCAGAATCGGAACAATCTCCTCTTAAATTTACGACACCTCCGAGACGACCAATGTGACACCTTAGATAACATAAAAATCAAACTGATTGCCACTTTTAAGGAGATCAAGGATATATATAATTAATCAGACAATGCAGAGACATTCTACTGACTACTTCTAAGTGTCCTCAAAAAGTTCTATGGTGATTGGGTCATTGTGGAAGGCAGAAGGTCTGAAATGAACCTCAAACAGACTGGTGAGGAGTGGTGATCACCATATTGCCTAGTTTGTCAAATGTGTTCACCCCGGAAACTGGAGGTAGTATGATTGCTCACAGGTCTGAGAGGGTTTTACAAACACCTGATAGTTACTATAATCTATAATATATATTTAAACACATTTTTACGAAATTTTAGAGCAAGGACTATACCTCCAATCCGAGGGAGAATCTTGGAGAGGGCAATTGAGAAGGCAGAAGGACAGTTGCATGAATAAAATATTCAGTTCTTATTCAACTTGCATTGGATTTTTTCTATATCACTCTAACAGTAGTATAGTAAGTATTCCGAGCTATCCAATGAGATTTGGGGCACTAGAGGATATGCCAGAAGGATGCCATGTCCACCATCAACATTGTGGGAATCCCCCAGGCAAGAAGGAGGAAGTGTCTTTGGTCATGGAATTGGGGTGTTTCGAGGGCAGAAAAGAAGGGAGGGTGCTAGGATAGTGTTCAGATTATGTTGGAGTGACAGGAATAACCCCAGCTTTGCTTGAAGGGATATAAGAGTGCACATTTTCGATTTTTCTGGTATCTTGTGAAGTGTTGTAGGTATATCTTTGGAAAAAATGAACGCGTGGAGACGCTGAATAGCGCGTTTTGTAGCCTTTGATAACCTCTATCTGAACGCATAATGTTTTGGAAGGATAGATACGTGTGTGGCATAGAGATTTGAGTGCGCTTTTTCGGTTTTTTAGCACATAAACATCGAAAGGCCCATTGCATAACCAATAATGCATGCAAGGCCATTATTATTGGCTCGTTCTGAAGCTATAGTAGCATACTAAATTATCGGCTAGTTTTTATGAAGCAGGGATGCATGAGAGGCAGAGCATTAGGTGCGCATTTTCGCATTTTTGTGCATAGAAGCACAGTTTAGGCCATAACATCGCCAAAAATGGTCGTATTCACACATTCTGGGTGTCTACAGGTAGCTATGAATTTCCTCAAAATTATCGCGTCATTGTTCCCATCAATTTCCACCCAGGGGGAAGCCAAACGAGCCCGAAATGCGCCAGCAATGGCTATTTTGATGCCAGATCCCAATTTAGCAGCTAGTGCTAAAAATAAACGCGCGCCAAGTTAAGGTGACACCTCATACGCGCCGTTTCGCAACATTCCACATCCCAGATTCTCCTGATTTTTTTATGACATACAGTAACATACTATCACATTGGCCCTGGGCACTTTTTTCACAAAAAACGGCCCCGGTTGAGGCTGCAGAGCAAACAGGTCACATGACCAGTTCTCTGCAGTGCCCCGGGGTCCTGCTTGGCCTATCCCGCCCTCCTGCACCTCCCACCACCTGCCCACCCCGGAAATGGATGCTTACTAATTTATTTACCCCCTCCTCATCACCCTTGCAGATGCCAGGCACCCGGCAACCCCTCCCTCTTATTAGGAGAGCCTTCCCAAAGCAGAAGGTAGCATATTGCCCTCCAGGGCTTAGATTCATAGTTAGGAAACTGCCTTGTATTTCTATATTTTTCTAGCTTACATGGCTGACAACGGCAACTGGACGGCGGCGGCGGAGCAGTGGGGACCAGGACAATGGAGCAGCGACACAACTATGGGGGAGTAACAATGACGGCGGTGGCGGAAGGATGGGGCAACGAGGGTGAGAACGGGGCAACGACGATGATGGGCAATCAATGACGATGATTCGTGCCGTCATTTTTCTCGCCCATTGCCTCTTGCCTCGCCTCTCGTTTGTTCCACCCGTCCTCTGTCCTGCTGTCCCGTCCTCTTCCCCACTGTCTCACCGTTTTGCTGACCTTGCCCTTTTTGCCGACCTTGCCGTTTCGCTGACCTTGCCCCTTTCGCCTCCTCGCCCTCTTTGCCCTCTTTGCCCTCCTTGCCCTTTTCGCCCACCTCGCCCCTCTCGCCCCTCTCGCCCACCTCGCCCACCCCACCATTTCACCCACCTCGCCCTCTTGCCAACCTCACCCTCTTGCCTTCACCCTCTTGCCCTCTTGCCGCTCGTCCACTCCTTGTCCACCATCAGCACCCAGTGAACCTGAACGACCCCAATGGCAAGCAGAAGGGGGCAGAGGCGACACGATGGTGGAGTTGACGATGGCGCAGCAAAAGGATGGGCGATGAGGGCGAGAACATGGCAATGACAATGACGGCAATTCACGCCATCATCTTTCTCACCCTTCGCTCTTGCCCCTCACCTTTTGCCTCCCACCTTTTTCCTCCAGCCCTTCGCCCTTCACCTTTCCCTCATCACCCTTTGCCCTCTTGCCTTCGCTGTCGCCCCCTGGCCTCCACCATTGCCCCATCACCCCCGCCATTGCCCCATCGCCTTCACCGTTGCCCTCTGCCTTGCCAACAAGCCCAACGAGGGGTGGAGGGCTGAACAGACACGCAGGGGGGGCAGAGGTGACCAAACGATGAGCAGAGGAGGGGGGAAAAGGGGTGAACAGCCCTTAAACAAGCAGGGGAAGGCCAAACAGCCCCCCCAACGAGCAGCGGAGAGGCGAACCACCCCCAA